GAGTATTGTTGACCTTGGAACTGTGTACCATGCAGGCTGCATGCTGAAGACCAGAAGGTCAGACTAGGTCGCCCGCAAATTCTTGGTTCACTGGGTACAACTGTTTGGAGCCCCAGGGCATATTTATCATGACCAAGGCGGCGAGTTCGAACTGTCTTTTACACAGCTTTTGGAGCAAATGGCTGCGCCCAGCACAGTCACCGGATCGCATGCCGGTTGGCAGTTGGCCGTCGGAGAACGGCATGGAGGAATCTTGGGAACCATGGTTGGAGCAATCACAACCGAGCACGTCACGGAAGGTTTCCATGGCATGAAGTTGGCATTGAGCTCAGCGCTGGCAGCCAAGAACATGACCATTACCCGTGATGGCTTCAGCCCCAACCAGAGGTTGTTTGGAACGGAGGTCCGCTATCCCAGTCTTTTGGAGGACGATGTCAAGCCTAGCTTTGCAGAGAGCTTGGACACCGAGACTGAGTTTGCAAGATCCCACCGTATGAGAACCACTGCCAGGTTGGCACTGATCCGGATGGATGTCCAGGAAAAGATGAAACGGGCCATTTTGAGGAAGCCCGGTGTGGACACAGAAGGTCCATATGTTCCTGGATGCCAGCTTCTGGGTGCCTAAGAAAGCTTCAAAAAGATACAGTCGAGGAGGTATCTGGCGTGGACCTGCAACAGTTTTGGTTCGTGAAGGACACCAACGCTATTTTGTCAGCTGGAGAGGACGCGCCTTGCTTCTTGCAACGCCAAACATGCGTCTGGCTACAAAGGAAGAACTGGCCATGAATGAGCCCGCAAAGAAGATGCAGAAACCATTGGCCAGATGCTTCGCGATCCAGAGCGTGATAACGCCTATCACGACCAAACCCATTTCAAAGGAGCTCCCAAGCGGAAACACATCAGAGATGACCCTGAGCGCAAACGTGCCCGATTGATGATGCGAGGCACTAAGTCAATCCGGGAATTGCTCAAGAGCCGGTTTGGCTTCAAAGAACAGCTCAGGAAGCGCAAGGTACAGCTCCAACCGCCAGAGAAAGGAGATCCGGTAGCGCCGAGGAAGAAAGTCAAGAAGGCTCTACCTCCACCGCCTGCGGAGGAGTCTCAAGACTCAATGGAGGAGTATACACCTTCTCAAACACCAGAGCCAGAGGCTCCACAGGAAGGCCAGCGGCCTATGCTTCCTGCTCCAAGTTCAGCTCCAGCTGAGCCACCTACAGAAGCCCCGCGGGCTGAAGATGTTCCAGCGCCACCCATGGATGAAAATGAGTGGTTGGAAGAGTACAGACATCTTCCTCAGGACGAACGCCGTCGCATTCTTCAAGATGATGTCCCACATGGGATCAAAAGCAAAGGTGGCATTACTGAAGAGGATGCTGACCGAGCAGTGAAGCGCCTCAGAAGCAACTCTGCGCAGCGACTGCAGCCAGCACTGTGTATGGAACCCTACAGAATGAGTGGGTTTCTCGTTATGATGTAGAACTGCTAAGACAGCTGACAGGAATGCCTGTTACAGCAGCCCGCGTTCACAGAGCACCACGGAAAAGGCTGCAACGACCCCCGAAGATGGTGTCGCGCTCCCGCTTGAGTATCCTCATTGGAAAGGATCCAGCAAGCACTTTCATTGTCAACGAGAAGGACGCAAAGGTTGCAGCCCATCCCCGTCGGCGAGCCAGCTTCGAGTGGCAGGGTCTTACGATGTTCTATCGCACTGAAGACCCAAGCAAGCCTACGGAAGTATTTGTCGAACTGCCAGACGGCATTCATGGGGCGACGCTCACCACCAGTGAGGCAGCAGAGTTCCAGCAAATGTGGCTGGAGGAAATGCACGATACCCTCCTTGCTGAAGTGATGATTCTAAGGATGAAACAGAGTGGCAAAGAGCTGGACCCTAGCTTCTTTGACACCTACGAGCGACAAGCCTTCAACAAATCGGACATCAAAGAATGGTCCGAATGGATCAAGAATAAGGTTGTCCGGAGGGTGGAAAAGGGCGAATATGTTCCGCCTTCGTGCATCTTTAGAGCGCCGCTGCACATGTTACGGGTGAACAAAGCAGCAAGCCCACTTCTGCCTTTGGTGGCCAAGTCACGGCTGATTGTACCAGGTCATTTGGACCCACACCTGGGTGAGTTCCGCACTGACTCACCTACATGCCCACAGGCTGCAGTTCGAGCAGCAAAGGCTATTGCTGCTGCCCGCGGATGGGGAGGAGTGACATTCGATGTCACGACTGCATTTTTGAGTGGGAAGGAAACTTCTCGTAAATTGTACATCCGAGCACCTCGCGAGGGTTTGCCACCGGCAATGGGATGGCCACCCATCAAGTCAGGAGAGTTGCTTGCGATTCTCAAAAGTGCCTATGGTCTCACAGAATCCCCAAGGTTGTGGTACCTGGAGGCAGTGGACCGACTTAAGGGCACTCCACTCAAAGAGCTAGCAGTCAGCCGCTCTACGTTTGTTGCCGGAGGCTCCCGGAGTGAACGGTGTTTGGAAGATAGCTGGGCAATTCTTTGCTTGCATGTTGATGATGGTTTACTGCTGGGCGATCTCAGCGACCCTCGGGTCATCGCCTTGCGCAAGCAAATTGACAACCTGTTCACCATCAAGGAATGGAAAGAAGTCACTGCAGAGAAGCCAATTCAATTCCTGGGTGTTGAAATCACCAGGGATTCCTCTGGATTTCATGACGACATGAGCAGGTACATCAAAGAAATCAAAGTCGAGAAGCTGCAAGGGGAAGGTCTTTTGGGACCTCGTGACGTCACACTATACCGCCAGTTGGTTATGCGTCTTCGTTGGCCGGCACAGCAAACAATGCCACACATGTTGTACGAAGTCTCCAATCTGGCGCAGAGGGTGACAAAGGCAACCCATGCAGACTACAAGGAGGCAGTGAAACTGCATCAGAAGTTTGTGGAAGAAGCCAATGCTGGACGAGCCAGGTTGACCTATCCACCGCTGGACAAGAACAACAAGTGGTTCTACGTCAGCTACTTCGATGCGTCCCTCGGAAAAGAGTCCGATGGAAAGTCACAGTTGGGCGCCGTACACTTTCTCACCACTGCAGCAGCTCGCACAGGACCGGCCGCCGCCGCGCCAGTTGAATTCAGTACAAACAAGAGTTCTCGAGTGCTGCGCAGCTCGATGTCTGCCGAAGCACGCTCAATGAGCATTTGCGTGGACCGCCATTTGTATGGTCGACTCGTTATCGACATGATGCTCTACGGGTACAAGACTCTGGATGAGAATTGGCGAACCACAATGGGAATTTCTGGAGGCGTTGTCACTGACGCCAAGAGCCTGTATGACCACATGCGTACAACAGGACAGATCCCGACAGAGCGGCAGACCATGCTTGGCTTGATGGTGGCTCGTGACCACCTCGAGTCAGGCGCCTACGAACTTTTCTGGGTTCCAACTCACCGCCAACACGCAGATGGGTTGACCAAGAAGATGAAGAACATCCTATGGGAGATCTTCTGCAAGCTCCCCAGGATTTCTCTCAAGGAGACCGAGGACGAGCGGAAGCTAGAGGAGCACAGGAAAGGTTTGAGGAAGGCACAGCGACAGCGTCGCAAGGACCGCATGAAGGGCCGCGAACCTTCTCAGGCAGCGCCTGCTCATGTACAGTATGTACAGTTGCAATCATGTCAACACACTCTTTCGGCTATGTGAAGATCATAGCGAGGTACAGATGGGTAGCTTGACATGATTTGACTTTTGCATGTATCCGCACCGCAGCTTGTCACAAGCGATTTGCTTCGGAAACACCGCGCGTTTTCTTTGCGCTTTTGCCCCGCGTTTTGTTCTAGCTTACGCTACCCTGCGCACTCCGCATTTTGATCTTGCCAACCGCCACTTGACTTGCAAGTTGTCGACAGGTTGACACCTTTTTGACATTGAGCATTGCGGGACATTGCTTGGTGTTGTGATTTTGACATTGAACAGTTGACCAAGTTTGACATTGTACAAGTCGAGGCATTGGCATGCTGAGTGCCCAAACAGGGCAGCCGGATCATCTCAGTCACGCGAATTGCAACCGAACAAGTCAGGCTTGTATCTCATGAACATTGCTCAACTGTGTAGACATCCCAAAGAAGATCAATGTTTTGCGCATGATTTTATCGAATTCATCTGTCAACAGCACTCATTCGATCGTTCGCAGACCTTTTTTCGTGTGATCCGTGCGTTCACAGAGCTCAAACGCGTAGACCGACCTCGATTTCGATCCCCCCAATTTCGTCTTGCCGAAGATGCCAACGACGGCCACAATGGTGATCGCGATTCGACAAATGTATAGGAGGTCGTGAGATCCAAGTCCTCTCGACGCTTCTGCATTGTTCTCTCCGGGTCATGGAGAGCTCTCTGGCAGAGGAGGGACGCAAGAGGTCACCGGCAGTTTCAGACCATCCTGGCGGAACTTCAACACCAGCGTTCAAGAATCGATGATGGAACAGCTCATGATGACAAAGAATCAAGATTCACCACATTCCCCAGGGACCACCAGGACCCTCGACCCGTCAGCCTCCATCTCCGAGCAAGGCGCCTCCTGGGAAGTTTTGGAAGACGAGGGGATTCTGGCTCAATCATTGCAAGCCATCCAGCAGAGTCGAAGGCGAGGATCCATCCCAGAAACGTGCCAAGGCGCCATATGGACCCCAGGCTATGTGAAGTTGAAAGAGACGCTCCTACCCGGCCAAACCACCATCCTCCAATATGTAGCGTCGCACCAATGGACTCTTTCTTTTTTGATATAGCCACAGCCTTGAAGGGTAAAGCTGATTCCAACAACCCTCTAGCAATGGAGCCACCTCCCGAACTACGTAAGAAACTCAAACTGCAGTCCAACGAAGTATGCGAGTTAGTCGGCAATGCCTATGGTCGCGTAGACGCTCCCTGTTGTTTTACAAGGAACTGACCAAGCATCTCCACCAGTTGGGCTTTGGGACACATCCATTAGAATCAGAACCTTGCGTACACTACTTGGTTTCAGGAACCGGTCAAAACTTCATCCAAGTATACTTGGAACTCATGTAGATGATGGGGTTGGTGGCAGCGACCAGTTCTATCAAAGGAAAATGAAAGAATTGGAAGAGAGGCTTCCCTTTGGATCTTTCAAGGAACGGAAATTTAAGTTCACTGGCGTTGATCTCGAACAGCAGTCTTACGGCTCCATTTCGGCCACTCAAGAAAGCTATGTTCACAGCATTCCTGCCATTGATGTCGGGAAACAGCGTCCCGAACAGCCACAGTCGACACTGACTGAAACTGAGCTCTCGAAACTGCGAGGCCTGATAGGTAGCCTTCAAAACGCTGTCACGCATACTCGCCCAGGCATAACATCTAGATTAGGAGAAGTACAATGCCAGATTGCACAAACAACGGTTGCTACAATGCTGCAGGCCAATAAAGATCAATAAAGCGTTGAGGGAAGCACAAGAATATAGTGACACAAAGATCTGGTATCGAGCGATTCCAATAAAAGACCTCACGTGCATCTCTTTTGGAGATGCTTCGTTTGCCAGCCCCAAGAATCTGAGTTTGTTTCAGGGTCATATCATTTGTGCCACGTCCACTGAACTCCACCAAACTCGTCAAACACCATTGTCACCACTCACATGGTCTTCTACGCAGATTTCACGTGTAGTTCGATCGACAATTTCGGCCGAAACATTTTCCATGAGCCAGAGTGTAGATCGCTTAAGTTGGGCGCGGTTACTTTGGGGTTGTCTCACAATCGATGAGCTCAATTGGGGTAAATCCCCCACAAGGATTTAAACAGGAGAACAAAGCCATCATCACTACCGACTGCCGCTCACTTTTTGACTCATGACATGTTTCACACTCCCCAAAATCTAAAGAACACGAAATTAATGGGTGGCAGGTCGGTCGCAACCACTTCAAGGCTTGCTTGCGATGGGCATTGTATCGAAGCACCGCTGCTTCGTCGAAGATTCTCGAGGATCCAGTCTGAAGGGTTGTTCTCAACGAACTACTGTCCATCACCTTCGTCAGAGGGTCGGCGATCATCAGGGTGGTTGGTATCCACCTGAAGTGAACGTGTTCGGCACAGCGCTCTCTGATCAGCAAGACCTCCAAGGTCGCACGGAATTCTTCACATGATGGTATTGCAGTACGATGTCCGGATCGACATGTCCACTCAACTTCGGAGGATCGTGTTCCTCTCGCCATAAAGGCTTGAGGCGGGTCGAGATCGGGAGCCTGTGTCTTGGAGGAAAGGACATGAGCCATAGCGGCGAGGCGGCTGCTGGCGGACCTTGGGAAGGTCCTGGAAGGGTTGCGGTTCCTTTGACAAGGTCATTGGTTGATACACGTCGTACTGAAGCAGGGCTTCTTTCTTGGAAAGGTGTTCCTTTCTTGGTGAGAGCCCGCTACCAATTTCACAATATATATATATATATACACGTATATATATTTGTATATAACGGCTCAAGGCTCAAGCCGTTTAAGCATCAAGCCCGGAGTATAGTACTTCGGGCGAGCACGACGGCAAGTTCACCCACCTCCCTGACCTTGTCTACGGCCAGATCGTGGAGGGCGCGGTGATCAATGACCTCCGGGGGCAACTGGTGCAGAGCTTACCAGGTATGCGGCGGTGGAGGATGCTTCAACTGGATCTGGTCGGACAAGGTGCGTGAGGGCTATGTTTGTCGAAAATGCGGAGAGCAATGGCCTCGCCCACCACAGGGGTTCTCAAAAGCTCCACCTTCACGCTCACCCAAGAGGGGGCCACGACAGCAATTGCCAGTGCCACCCCCGCCGGGCCTGACCTCCAAGGCGCCCAAGATGACCAAGCTCCAGAAGGCCACTGCGGAGGCATTGGCCCCTACTTGGACCACTTTGGACCCAGCTCTGCAACAGAAGCTCCAAGCCTTGGGGATCTCGCCGCCCCCTCCCTCACCGGGGCCGGACTTGAAAGACATCCTCATGGAGAATCTGGCTCAACTCCCTTCCAACGTTCGGGAAATTGTCGAGAAGTTGACCAAGCCCTCTCCGCCAACCGAAAAGGATGTGGCCTCCAAGCTGAAGACTCATGTGTCCATGCTGAAGGACTTGTCCCACAAGAAGAACACGCTTCAGCAGCGGATCGACTCGACCAAAAAGGCTTACCAAGACCTTCTTGAAGAAATGAAGGCTATCCAGGGCCGCATCGAATCTGAGCAGCGCTCTCTCCAGGACACCAGCACCTCGTACGTGAACTTGGTCAACTCAGCAAAGCCTGATCTTGCTGGACTGCCTGAGGCAGCGGGCGGTGACCCAGTTCCAGCGGCCGTAGCAGGTTTCATCAACACCCTTGGTGTCAGTTTGACGGAGGACCAGCAGCTCCAGCTCCAGAACATGTTAAAAAGGCCGCCTGCTGACACTGATGAGGAAGCAAAGCGCCGACGAACCGACGGCACGGATCAGTCTTGCGGGTAACCCCGCACAGGTGCTTCATCCGTCTTCTTCAGACATGTCCTTTCACACATGTCCAGGTTTCTCTCTCTGATTGTGGGGTTTGGCACAATCAATCATCTTCACTTTTGCAATCTTCAGGCTCAAATCTGGGCTCTCCGCGGGGCTTGGAGAGCTATGGGCCGCAGCGCAGGAGGCCACCTCTGAAATTTCTTGGGGGAGGCACCGCGCCCCTTTTGACCACTGAGCAAGGCAGCACTGGAGAGGCACCGGGCTCTTCTACGTCAGAGCGGACTCTCACGAGTCCCGCTTCCTCCGGGACCTCTCCAGCGCAACCCTTGGCTCGGGTTTTGACTCAGGCTATGGAAGGTGGGAACACCTCCCGCCTCACGGATGGGCAGATCTTTCTTTACGATCTTTGCCAAGAAGACCTTCTTTCATCATGCAAGTGTCACAGGTTCTGACCTCCATCCTCCTCAACCCGGACGGGTAGAACCTCTGCTTCGGCAATGCACCTTTCCGGTGCTGGTGCTGGGCTGGAGCTTTTGCTGATGATGCGGCCAGAGCGTGGGGACACTCCCACCCGGCCGTGCGATCCTTTCTGTCCGAACCGGAAGCTCAACTATACTTCCCCATCTACCACACCTGGAACAGATTTGGAACCGTTTCAGACCGGGAGGGCAGGCCGATGCGGCGGACTTCTTGGGCTACCTCTGGCATTTTGCCGGCTCCAACTTTTTTCAAGGAAAGTTCTTTCATCGGATGGAACAGGGTCGAACTGAGGTAAGAGAGCAGATGCCCCTGAACTTGTTGTTCCCTCCGCGACAGGCGCCGACTGCCCTCGATGAACTTGTCAACTTGTGGAGTGATGAAGGGGGTGGTCAATTTTTGTACGGATCACCTGATGCCCTGGTCCTTCACCTGCAACGTTTCCAATGTGTTGATGGCACTTGGACCAAGCACTCCAGTGAACTCGACATTGGTCAGGACATCAACCTGCCTTTCTCAGATGATGGTCAGAATGTGCACTGGGGCGCCTATAGGATAGTTGGCCTGGTCCTACATCAAGGAGAGGATCACCTCACTGGCCACTACCAATCAATCCTCCTCATGGACAACATCATCTGGCTAGCGGACGATGGGGATTTGCCCACTCCCTTGGCGGGGCTGTCCGCTCAACAGCGCAGGGAGATCCTCCAAGTGTGGCTGGTCAAGGAACCGGAGGATGAGCTTGTCCCGGACACCCAAGCTGAGATGGAAGCTCAACTTGCCAAAAGGCAAAAGAACAATCATGAGACCCTCACCTTGCTCTTTGGCAACGTCACGCACTTTGGAGCCAAGGTACAAGACTGGACTTGGTCACACGGCGATGCCCTTCTTTTTCTTCACAAAACACATCTCGGAGTTGAAGGCACAACCAAGGCCATCCAGTACTACTCCAACCGTGGATGGAAGGCGTATGGCCAGCCGGCCCACCCCACCGGCCAGGGAGGCACTACTGGGGGCTTTTTGACCTTGCACTCCACCAGACATCTCACCCATCAAGGGCTCTCCTTCACCCACGAAGGCAATGGGTGGATGTCAGTGGGGCTTCAAAGGCAAGGGCTGATGATCTACATCATCCAGATCTATCTCAAGACCGGTGAGACTTTGCAGTCAGCTGCCAACTCTCTCATTTTGAGCAAGCTCTTGGCTTTCCTTCACTGGCAAAATGAGCCGGAAGCGCTGGCCTCTACGGTCATTCAAAGCAAGTTCCGGGCCACCATTGTGGACACTCAAGGCAACACCACACTGCAGGGCAGTCAACTGGACTACTTGTTGGTCGCCAACTCCTTCGTGGGCTCCATTCACCTCAGCGCTTTTTGGGAAGTGCCCTGGCGTCCTCATTGTGCCTTGGAAGTCAAGCTGGATTGCGCGCAGCCGGCACAGCCTGTTCAACAGCTTCAGAGGTTTCCTCCCGTTGGTCGCACCTTCCAGCTTCCACACCTGTGGACAAGTTTCTCTGAGGACAATGGCCCCTTCCACATCATGGATGACCTCATCACTGGACTGGGTTCTGACTTTGCACGTTGGGCCACGCAAACTGAGAAGTTCATCACCCAGTTGCTGCACAAACCCACTTTGGGCCGGGGTTCCAACATTTCGCTCTATCATGCGCCCTTGGTGGACACCACCACCTCCAAGAAGTGGCTCAGGGGAGCGGTGGCCTTCTGGGAAAAGCTCAATGTTCGCATCAACGTGGCCCACCACATGGGGCACAAGACCATCCTCCAAGACATTCGCCACATGCTCCTTGATGTCCAGCACTACTGTTCTGAAGATTTTCAGGCGGACATCTTCAACGCCCTGATCACACAGTGGCTTGACACGCCCTCACAAGACCCTTCGGAGTTACGTGCACAGATCCTGGAGCAAGAGCAACAAGCGCAGAAACAGGCCTTGCAATCCACCAGCATCGAGTTTCAAGAATGGCTGGCTAAAGCTCATCACAAGGGACTGCGGGGATTTTCCGCAGCCTACGGCAACGTGATCAAGCTTGGCAGCGGCCTTTTCAAGATCTACCAGCCCTTGCTCGCATCACTGCCAGGGAACAACAGTGGGGAGAAATCTGGGAACCCTTGGCCGAACCGGTGGCTCTCAGGGGCTTTGAACAGCTTCGCACTCTAGCTCAACAGGAGGCAATCACTTGGAAGCCGATCGACTCCTCCCTGTTGCAGAAGCTCCTCCGTAGACTTCCAAACAAAGCAGCTGGACCTGACGGAATCTCTTACGACATGCTGAGGCACCTTCCGTACCCTGCAGTGGCACGACTTGCAAGTCTTCTCACGGAGATGGAAAGGGAGGCTCTCCTACCCATCCAGATGCGCTATACCAACATTGTGCTCATCCCGAAGAGCTGCAAGGTCGAAAGGCCCATTGCCTTAACCTCCTGCCTCTATCGTGTCTGGAACTCCTACAGGAAGCACGACATCCAGAAGTGGCAGATGACCCTGGACGAGGCCTTACCATGGGACCAAGCTCGACCTCACCGAGACTGTTTGTCCATTGCTGTGGGAAGGATGTTGAAAGCTGAGATCCGGAAACACCAAGGAATTCACACTGTCACCTGCCTGGCGGACCTTTCCTGTTTCTACGACACGGTCAACTTGGACCACATCATCGAGCCAGCCGCGGACTTAAACTATCCCCCGGTTCACCTCAAGCTGGCCCTGGACCTGTACCGGGGGCCCAGGCTCATCCAGGCCGAAGGGATAGCTGGAAATCCTACTCACTACGCCAAGGGCATCCTTCAAGGCTGCCCGCAGGCACCGGCCATCAGCAAACTCATACTCTATCGTCCACTTCAAGCCTTGCAACGGGAGCACCCTGCTGTGGCCCTTCAGACATGGGTCGACGACGTCTCCTATGACATTTGTGGCTCAGATCCCGACTACGTCGCTCGAGAGGCGGTCCTGGCCTATCGTACCCTGAGGGAGCATCTCACTCAAGCTGGTTTGAAAGTCAACACTGACAAGACAGGTTTCATTTCCAGCAGCAAAGAGACCGCCAAGGCCCTTCAGATCTTGCTGACCGACCAAGACCCTCAACACTACAATGTCCTTCGTGACTTGGGAGTCGATGCAAACATCCGCTATCGGCTCCACAAGAGTGCAATCCATCCAGTGATGTCCTGGGGGGTTCAGGCCAACGGCTTGGCCCCACAGAGAAGGCAATACATCAGGGTGACTGCTGCTCGGAGCCTCCAGCTTCAACGTTCCGGCTCGGTTGACATTGTGTATGACATGAATCAGCAACATCCAGATCCGGGAGACTCCATCATTGAACAGCACTTGCACTCGGTCTGGAATATCTACCACTCCTTTGATGAGAGCACCCAGCACCTTTTCTGGACTAGCTGGAACGTTGCCTTAGGAGCTCTACAGAAAGTCCGTTACCGATGGCAGGTTGTCAACGGACTACTCCAGGCCCTGCAGGCTTTCTTGCTGGACTACGACTTTGATCTGTCTGATGGGCAAGTGTGGAAGAGGACCGGCTATGGTGGTATCCCGGACTGCCAACTCAGCCTGACTGAATGCTGGCCCACTTTACAGTTCAAGCTTCGCGCTGAATTTCGATGGCAACTATGAAGGCTGCCACGATTTGGAGAGGCACTTGGATTGGCAAGTCAGCTTGACTTTGCAGAAGATGTCGGGTGACACTCTTGGCCCCGGCCTCCGGGCCCTTCATCAAGGAACCCTTCACGGGCAAGAAGGCCGCTGCCCCTTGTGCGGAGATGATCTCACCTTCATCCACCTCCTCTGGCAGTGCAGCTTTTGGAAGGGCAAAGCCAAAGACCTTCCTGACCAGTGGAAGGAGCGCTTGGCAGCGGGCACAGAACCAGAGCTCTGGCAGCGGGGCCTCGTCCAGTCCATCTTTTACATCCAGGATGGAGGCTTGAGCACTTTCCAGTTGGATGGACTTTGGACGCCTGATGAGGCCCTTGACATCCCTACTGGGCATGCAGTGTCTTTGGCTGTTGCTCCCACTTGTAAGGACGTGCGCCACAAGAGGTATGTCTTTGTGATCTGTCTCCACCATGTCTTCACTCGCAAGCTGACTGCCACCTTCAAAGGCATCTGCCCGGGGCAGGCCACCAAGAGCAGGGCTGTGTTTTATGCCTTGAAACATTTGGCACTCCACAGCAAGGAGAAGGTCACAGTAGCCATTTATGACCATGCAGTTTGGCGGGCATGGCAAATTTCTCGGGCCTACGAATGCTTTCCGGACCTTTTTGAAGGTCTTGAACCGGATGATTTCACCCAAGTTCGGCCCTTGCTGTTTGGGAAGAAGGAACTCGACCCCAATGCAGCACGGCATTTCTTCCAGCAAGATGCTGAGAAAGAGGCCAAGAAGTTCGCAAAGGCTTCCAGGAATGAAGACATTTTAGACTTGCAAAAGAGCATTGATGAGGACACCAGAGACATTTTGTGCGTAGCCGCTGGCAGGATGAACACTCTCCTCAGGGACAAGTCCCATTTCTTGCACAAGGCTGACCAGCTGGAGAAACACCAGAAGGTCCCCTTGATTGCCCAGAAGAAAGAGCTCCTTCAACAGCTGCTCCACCGGCCGGACGCAGGTGGACACTCATGGCGGCCTTTTCGCTCTGGTGCCCAGTGCTCTCAATGCAAGCAGCGGCTGCACTCGAAAAGCCTGGTTGGCGACCTCAAAGGTGCCCTGGACTCCTCTTGCCAGATGGCAACTCCTAAAACTCCTACCAGGCGCACTCGCTTCGAGGTGATTAATGATCTCATTGCTGCCCAGTCTGGCGTGCAGAGAGGAGTGCACCATCTGCGGCTGGAAAAAGCTTACTTACGGTGTTCTGAGTGCCATGACTACATACTTGCACGTTGTCGGGAGGAAGCATTTTGCACCTTCGTTGGAGCTCCTTGCAAGGTGGGGCCACTGGAGCCGTCGCTGTGGGAGGGGCACCCCTCCCACACAATGGAGCGCCGAGGCAAGGTGGCATCGTGCACCCGCTGTGGTGGCAAGGCCAAGATCGTGGAGGAGAAGCTCGAACTCACCGAGCGTCTCAGAAAGAGATGCGAGGCCCAGCAATCAAAGGATTTGCGGGCTTGGTTCACGTGAGCACTCATGCACAGAAAAGGCGAGCAAAAAAAAAAAAAAAATATATATATAACGTGTGTATATATATATACAGTATATATAAATATACTTCGAGACCTTTGAGCGTGTCCTGATTGAAGGTACAGAGCTATCGAGCTTGTCGCCCTGTCAAGGCCAAGTCCGCAAGAAGGAAGTTGCATTTCTAATGTCCATCTGCAGCCGCACCGCTCAGCAGTTCACGCATGCCAGCATTTGTGAAAGACCTGAGGTGCTTCAGACACAACCTCCACAGAACCACGCGAAGCTGAATTGGTCGTGGACAAAGAGCGCTGATGATTGCCAATGTTCTGGCGGACAACCTTTTTCACTTTCTCCAGCTGCTTCAAACGTTCAGTGCAAGGGAATGAATTCAAACCTTGTAAATGCCGTTGGCTTGGCTGCTTTTCAGTGAGCGTATGTGGCCCCATGCAAGTTCTAGCAAGCCACCTAGCTGGGTAAAAAGAAAGGCAATTTTGTTTGGCATTACAAACTTTTACACCAGTGTCCTGCAGTCAATCTTGGTTCATGCGGTGCACCTGAGTTATGGTGCACAACCGCAGCCAGCACCGAAGACTAAATGACTTCCAATGTGAAACGTTTGCACTCAGCTAGACTTTGAAGCTTGAAGGCACTTGGACTCCAGGCCTAAGCCGCAGAAGGTCCAAGGCAAGCCAAACGGCCACGGCAGAATGAAGGTCTGACGTTTACTGCATGTCACGTGATCTGCGTCCGTCTGAAATCCTTGGATCTGAGGCACCGACATGGCAATGCCACAATCCTGCTTCGTGGGCGTCGTATTTCTGTCTTCGTGAAATCACACATGCTGCCAGCAACAAAGGCTGGTGCCATTGCTTTCGTTCCAGTCCACTGGCAGTTCTTGACGTAGGCAGTTCGCACTTCTTCAAGCAACTCGATGCTCATGCTCAAAGCTGCAAAGTATCCTTCAGTATTCTCTGAGTCAGACGAAACGACCACCATCAACGGAGTAGGAGCTTCTTGGCCTGTCGCAGGTTCCAGGTGTCCAGAACCCCGTCCCCGAACACGCACCTTTGCCCCAGTGAGCAGGGCTATGCGCCTCGTGTTGTCACCTCCTTTTCCGATGATCATCCTGACAGGGTGGAATGTCCTGTCGAAGTGCATGCGAATGTTGATACAGCACCAGCGCCGGCTTTGTGCTCGTTGGCTCCGAGATGGCTTCTGCACCAAAACGGGAACCGGCTCAAGCGGTACTACTTCTGAACGCGTCTCTTCATCAAAGCACTCAGAACTGTTGGAATCATTCGTCATCTGCAGGTGTGCGTCTTTGGGCTGAGATTCACTTGTCTCAGAACAGCTGGTAGTTCTTGTGCTGGCATTGTAGGCACTGTGGCGCGTATTCCAATGCCAAGCTAAAGCAGCAGTTGCCACTTCTGCCGCAGCGGCAACTGCAGAGTTCCCACCTGACTCCATGATGCAAGGAGCCCAACCTGCCCAACCCAAAGATTGCACTTTGGCGTGCCATGGATTCGGATGCACTGGATGGGTGGCAAGCGGGGTTCCATTGCGATAGCCTGGACAGGGCAAATTCAGGGGATTCGGCAATGAAGGATAGCCCCACTCAGCAGATCCAAGTAAATGATCAGACAGCGCGAAAGCATGTGCCTCCAAAGGTTGTGGCATACTAGGCCTAGGCAGCATGCATTGTGCACAAGAATGCTCAGAATGTAGAGTGGCAGAGGCAAAGACATGAGCGTAGGCCCCATAAGCTGGGTCACAGCTCACTGGTGCATAAGCTGGCTCGCAATTGGCCAAACTGCAACTATAGGCTTCTGTGAGGCCGAGCTCTTCATTTGACGCTTGGCGGGCATCTGTGGATGTGGGCAAAACTGAAGGCTGGGAAACCATGGAACCAGCGGATGTGGAACCAGCGGATGTGGAGCCAGCAGCGCAGTGACCCGACAACACAGCAGGGCCACTCAGAGTATGAGGCACTTGAGTCCCTTGAGGTATTGGCGTCAATTGAGCAAGTGGACTGTCCAAAATCTCTGCCTTCGTTGAGAGTTTGTGGATCTTTGATTCAAGTTCACTTGGCTTGGAAACCTCAAGGAGGCACCCAAGGGATTTGCATCGGCGAAGCTTCACTGGCTCTTCTGCAATTTCGACGAAGGTATTCTTCACACAAGTCATGAGTTCCATGTCAGAAAGCCTGGAATTCCTGGAATTCCTGAAAGTGGATACTTACAGAAGTGGTCCAAGCGCCGCTCGACTTTGGCTCTCACAGGAGCTGTAAGTCTGATTTGTGAATGGCTGCGGAGAAATCAAAGTTCAACATATCACAGCAAACCCAAACTGATCATCCAATATAGTTGTTCCTTTGTGGGTTTTTGTGTCCCTGAGGAAAGGTTGGGTGTGCGCAACAATCAGAAAATAACTCTAAAAGAAGGGTTTCTACATGGAAGCCACTCTGCGGATTGGGCCCTACACCAATAAACTACTGTCACGAGTTCCTTTCCAAGCGTGAGGCCGATGCTCGCCATGTTGTTGAGGATGCCCACAAATGGCTGACTGCTTCGTTCTCATCCAGTTCAAGTTAAAGCCTCGAATTTAGCAGTGCAGCGGATAGAATAAAATGAACATCAAAAAACAATGCAGAAACATCCAAAAACATGTCAAGCCTGCCATGGCAGCGTTTCTTGGCATAAATAGATAAATAAATAAATAAATAAAACAAAATAAAATAAGAATAACATAATTTGATACAATATAATACAATATAATACAGTACAATACAATACAATATAGTATAATATAACATAATATAAATAGTATAATATAATATAATACAATATAATACAATAATATAATATATTATAGTATAATATAATACAATATAATATAATATAATGTATCAAATCATTGTCAGCATTTGTAGCATCCTGTCGCGTTCGTCCTTCAACATTGTGAAAATGCTTTGCCCGAATGTGACTCAACATCTGTTCTTCATCCGAACAACTAGTCTCTGGTTTGACATGACTCATGACCTGGAGCCAAGCGCCTCAGCAATACCGTTCCAATGTGCCATGACTCCTAACCTTTTTCTTGGCCTTCACAGCGTAAAATGTGATTGCACAAAATGTAAAAGACAAGAGTGATCTGCCTGTCAAAAACAGAAAGGCCTAATTATGTGCGAGAACTGTTGGGCTGCAATGCTCAACGCTTCACAGCCAGCCTGGAAATCATCCGTTTAGTGGAGAAGCACCTACGGTTCGCACATTGATCCAGCTCACCTTCAAGGTAGTCCTCTATTGCGATTGTGAGACATGGCACCCTTTGAGCGCCCTTTTGATCATTAGTCAAAATGGAGTTCTGCCACTTGGCCACGTGGCACTTAAGAGAGGGGAGGCATTGGTGGATCCTGCAAGGGTGGCAGCTCACGAGCCATACCACCTCTCTGCCTTGGCACAAAGGCTCCATAGTTTGCAATTGCTGTATGGTTTTGGTTTTTTGGGTGTGCGCAGTTCTTTTGAACACCACAGTGGAGTGGTACTGGCAATCGGTGACGAATACATACAAAGCACTGTGGATGTTACATATACATTTTTCCCGAGAGCGTCTGCGAAGGGTTTTTCGTAAAAAACATCTGTAGAACTACGTCTCATCTACATCTTCACATCTGCACATCTTCTACATTTGCACCTCTACATCTTTGCTCATCCTCACATCTGCACATCTACATCTCTGCTCATCTTCACATCTTCACATCTGCACATCTACATTTGCACATCTACATCTCTGCTCATCTTCACATCTGCACATCGACATCTCTGCTCATCTTCACACCTTCACATCTGCACATCTTCACACCTGTGCATCGACATCGTCACATCTTCACATCTTCACATCTGCACATCTACATCTTCACATCTTCACATCTGCGCATCTCACATCTGCGTATCCTGTCGCTCTTCTTTTCTTTCTCTCTTAAGGCCGGGGGCGCCGCCGGAGCACCACGAAACGCAACCCTCTGTGAAGATCTTGCGCGTCGAGGGCGCGAAATGCAGGTGAGATTACGTTTTGGCCCGGTCCGGCGCAACCCTCTGCGGAGATCGCACGCGTCGAGGGCGCGAAATGCAGGTGAGATTGCGTTTTGGCCCGGTCCGGCGCAACCCTCTGCGGAGATCGTGCGCGTCGAGGGCGCGAAATGCAGGTGAGATTGCGTTTTGTTTTGATCGGGCGGAACCCTCTGCGGAGATCGCACGTGTCGAGGGCGCGGAATGCAGGTGAGATTTGCGTTTGGATTAGTCGCGTTTCACTTTTGGAGGAAATCTCGTACGAAACGCTCGTTTTGGAGACTT